ATTATGTCACCTTGGCTATAGAGTCATTTTCATGATTGAGACATTGGACTAAAACTCATGCCACATACATGAAAACAAGGCTCCATAGCCAAAATGACATACATTCTGGAAGGGTGTAAGGTGTCTTTTTGTAAAATTGTTAGCAGTAAACAATTTAAAAAACAAAAATGTATAAGTTTAATTGCTATAAAACTTATTTACACTTCAATAAAGTTATGATAATCATATAATTATTTATTAATTATAATTAATTGTTATGCATGGTATTATAATTATAACTTCATTTTGTAATTGTTCTGCATGTTCTTCTGCATGTTGATGCCTGTGCCATCTCTTTTGTATATTAAACAGATCATTTCTGCAAAAAAAAGACGACATTATCATGATACATTATACATCTTTACACCACAAAATATCATATACACATATGTTAACCCTTCAAGTGGCAATGTGTTTTGATGTGCCTCACTGTTTTATTTTTGTCTTACTGTATTATGTCAGACAATTTTACTAGTCAAGGGGAGAGTGCAATTACATGATCTGTTTTTACCAAGATCATTAATCTGAGCTTCTAAATTAAGTGTCATGTTTCCATATTCAGCAATGCAATTACATTCCCAACTAACTGCTAAAATATGTCAAACTATTATTAGCAAATTTTGTCATAATTTCTCACAGAGCAATCGCACATCACCTTCTCCAATGTTAGAAATTTGTATGTTCTTGCAAGTAACTATGAGATCATATACTACGTGTAAAACTACAAAGTTTTAATAGTTCTGAATAGACAAATTATGTAATGTAAAATGTTATCTATTTTTTAAGACTCTTCTCTTGATGAATAAAACAACTGGATTTAGTCTCACCGATAGAGTAAAATAAAACAGGGACTGTGGAGCCTGTTTAAAGGTGTGTGTGTGTGGGGGGGGGGGGGACAGGATAGCATGAGTCAGGAGCTATTTCACATAGGCAGGCTGTCCAGATTTTATCCAGTAATTTTTATCCACTGAAAAAGTGGGGGGGGGGGCATGGCCCCCCTGTTCTGCAGTCCCAGTAAGAAAGTAGCTGGTTCATTTGGGTGCATTGCATCTTAATGGGCTGACTATATATCTCAGGGGCTGCTCATTGGCAGATAGTGTATTAAATTGACCCACTGCGAGGCAGCAGTGAGCGGTCTCCTCTTAATATCATCTGGCATTAGACAAACAGAGTAAAATAATAAAGACTGTCTTTTATATAGGGCTCATCAGCTAGGACAGGGCACATTGTCAAATGTAGGTGGGCCTCCTCTACTCAAGTCTCTCTAGTCTTGTGCTTATCTATATATACTAATTCTGCGTTATGATGGGCAAGTATATAAATTTCACACCATATTAAACCTTTATGAACATGTAAACAACCACAATTTATACAAGTAATTAAAAACTGGCAGTCTGGCAATATTAAAACCACAAAGGGCAGGCCAGTGCTGACACTGAAAACAACATAATTTCATGTAGTACACAATATTTAATCATTAACAATATTTTTATGTATGAAATATTTGCTGTATATATTAATAGGATGAGTTTTTGACATAATATGAAGGGTCTAGTGGACTGAGTGTCTCAGAGTCTCAGACTAGCTTGTCGTCTAGAAAGTTTAATACAAAAAAGTTTTGTGAATCTTACCTGAAAGAATTTATAGTCTTTCTTTTTAGTTTCTCTGTAGTAAAGTGCTGCATCCACAAGCGAAGCAAACCGGCGTTGTAAAACAAGTAATGTGCGAGGGAAATATTAAGACTTTTGCTCAAAAACAACAGAAAACTTGAAATATCTTTATATTATTAAATACTGTATATCTGTGCAAAAACCAGGGGGGTTAAGGACATCTTCAAAAGCTTAGGATCGCGGTTGGTCAGTGGCAATTACCATGAAAATAAAGTAAGTGTTGTCATGGAAATGGCGTAAGATCCGCCATGTTTTTGCGGACACTTTTTTATCCCGAGCAGGTCCTCCAGTAATATAGTATAGCTCAGTGGTCACCAACCGTGGGTGGTCATCCTCACTGATCTCAAAAATATGGCGGACTGTCATGAATAGGAAACACTGTGATTGGTCCAATTTAAAGTTTGCATTATAACGCCTGCATAACGACAGCGAAATAGCAAACATTTCTTTATTTGATGATTGATAAATTTCTTGCAAATATATTTCATTTTCGCTCGCATTTTTGCAAGATTTTTTAAATTTCAAGAAAGAAATGGCGAAAGAATTGGCTAAAAGAAGGGAGCCGACGTTAACGAAGGTAACTTTGTTTTAAATATTGATTTTATAATTGCTTTAAAACCCGAAGGCCTTTATTTGCGTATATAAAACAACTAAACTGACAGCATATCGTATTATCGGGCCCCATTTCAGTGTATCTTTAATATTGATTCCCTTTTTTATTATATTGAATTTTTTTAAATAAAAAAGAAAGCAAAGTTATTTGCATGCTAGAATTTGAAATCATTTTATTGCAAACTCAAAGTTTATCGATCAAGCCAGTTAATTAAAGAATAAAGGCAGTCAGTTTCGGAAAGAACACTTTAAAACGTTTTGCGTTTGTGGTTGAATTTTACCTTAAATTGAAGCTTATATTACGTATAATATCATACCTAACATATATATGTTGGGAAATTGATAATTTTGTAATTAAAAGTGATATTTTTACGCGATTTTTCATTTGTATTAAGAATATTCTTAAAAAATTATCGTGTTACCATGGCAACTACTTTAGATACTTTATGTTCGGAAAATACAATGGCTTTGTCAGCAAGGCAAAGGTGTCTGCATGCATGTATTTTCTAGTAATATTTTATGTGATTGCGACTGGAGAGTCAAAAATTTGAGATGCAATAACAAACCGGTACTTGATGAAAATCACTTATTTTGTCAACAAAACGAGCAAATTGAGGCATTTTGGCAATTGCTTGTAAAAATCAAGTAATAAAGGCTTCCAATGCACTATTTTAAATTCACTTGCTGACTTCAAATGTGTTATAATACCGGCTGAAGCGTGTTTTAGCTTGCTGTCAACTTGCTAATTTATATTTACATTACGGCCCGATTCGACGGTGCTCGTTCGGACGATGCATGGACTTTTAAAAGGTTGTTTTGATGATTTCTGGAAATAATATAGGATTTTGAAATAAATAAAACTACCTAATCTCTTTTAGAATGTTTTTAACAAGTTTTTACTAGTTTTTCCGATGTGGCAACAAGAACATTAAAATTTGAACAAGAAAATTCAAACATTGCAACCGACTATGGAATATCACAGTAAATTTGTATAATTAAGCGGCATCTAAACATGATAGGTTTTACTAAATTTTCTCCTGTGCATTTATTACTTTAACTAAAGACACGGATGACCATTTGGTCGAAAGATAAATGAACAGGCTTTAAATTAAGCCTAAAACCGTTTTATTAGAAGTAGCAGTCCGAAAGTTATTAAGCACAAAATTTGGACTCCGTTTTTTTTTATACACCCTGTATATATCAAAATACAGCTTGCCTTCTATTATATCCTAAGTGTCCGAATAGCGGGCCAGCTGTCCGAAATGTGGTGATGAAAATGAACTACTTGTTTTCTATATTACAGAAAAACTAAAGAACTTTAGCGATGTATCTCTTAGAGTAATTTAGTAATGGGAAGTGGTCGTCATCTGTACAAATTTGAACATGCTAAACATCTTAAATCGCAAAATATAGTGCGAAAACACTTTACTTTCCGAAAATTGGACAACATACTGTAGCGTTTGAAGAGTATATATTGTCAGAAAACATTCACAGGGAAGATAGAGATTGAAAACGCATTACTTTTCATTGTTGTTTTACTGAAAAATGTTGTTCCCTCCTATACATGCAAGCGCCATTTTTAACTATACAGTATATGTTTTGAGAAGTTAACGATGCCCTAAAGTATCGTTAACTTTAACTACGTTTCAAATACTGTTAACGCTAACAACTTTTTGTACAACCGAGTTAACTACGTGATTAAAATTAACCATTACTGTAACTACAAAATAGTGATTTAAAAAAGTGATTAAGAGTTTTATACAACCGGCCCCAGCTGTTTAGTTGTCAAAAACAGACATCTTTTAGGCGGCGTATTTTCCACTCCATACGTACATGGCGCTATCATGAGTGGCTTCAAAGATGGCGGCCAAGTTATCGTCAATGACATTGGTCGACTCTTCATTGATGCGTTAATTACTGGCAAATATATCACAAAGAAAGCGCTAAAGTCATTATTTAGATGCATAAAACTGATAAAACTGAGACTTAAGATCTCCGTTGTCAATATACCATGTAAAGTTTCGTGTATCATAAGATTGTCATTATTGTGTGATTAAAGCTGACGCCTACTGGTGGACAACAACTTCAAATTGAACTATTTCCCAAGAGATTTAATAATACCTATGAGCTGTGAGTTTCCCGTGCACCATGCCCCAAAAACGTTCATTTATTTCAAAAGATTGACCGAATTGCCATGCATGCATACTTTCACTTTGTTAGCTACTTGCTTAGTGTGGTCGCCCCGGCAAATTTTTTTTCCGTAGACAGTCGGACTCCTCATTGATAGTCGGACGCATCATTGGTAAAGGTAGCTACGAGCACAGTTTATAGACTAAAGTGGTTGGGCTAGCTGCTGACGTCACAGAATATGTCATTGTTCTCAATTTATCTGCGTCACGTGACAAGAAAGCGGTATGCTGTCTCAAAACATTGTATATTTTTCTATATGAGTGGATCATATTTGCAGATAAAATGACGTTTTTCCGATTGTCTCACTGAGTTAATTCAAAGCATATGTTTGTGATGGTTCGTGTTAAGTACGTTGAGATGCAAATATCATTATCTGAAACACATGAGGGTGTAAAAACGAAAAATAAAGCCGATATGGAGGGTCAAAATATCTCGCACAAATCGCATTTTTGCTTCTGGAGAACAATTCGTAGAGATCTAAAATATTACATATTTAAAACGTCATTTAAACGGAAAAATGGATCAGTTAAGATGTTATTGTGAATGAAAACAGCTGCGAACACGATGAGAATCAAATATCAGTGTATTGCCACAGTCGCGACAAAAAGTTGTATACACAACAGTCTTGAGAAGCTGTTTGCTTTTATTGAGTGTATCTTTATATTTTCCATTATGTTTTACAAAAGTCAATAAGACATAATTATACATGATAGGAAGATAATTAGAGAAATATACACTGTTGTTATTGTTTAATATATCTGTAAATAGGAATATTTACAGATACTATTTACAGGAACAGTTACTTCCTATTCAAGTCCTTTCTGAGCGCTTTGCCTTTGGTCTTTTTTGCTTCTCCTTTATTTTGTACTTTAAAGTACATATGAAAAAGATCTAACTTTTAAGTAGAGTTTTAACAATATCTTCCAAGCACAATTTTGGAGTTGCAGATGAACTGTCAACCCCAGAAGACAAAACAATGTTCTCCCATAATCACTTCACAACAGGAGAGTCGAGCACTGGATTGCAAATATGAACGTTCTGTATAGCCTAGGCTATAGGTATACTTCTTATTAATGTATCATTGTCATTGATCTTGTTGATTTCACCTCTGAAAGTAACTCAGAAACTTCAACAATGTGAATTAAGTCGTCACAAGGGCATACAAACCCAACTCTGGTTCGAGCAGAAATAAAAGTATTTACCCCTTCAGTTGACTTCATGACTTGCAATAAGGCTTGAATTTCATCGCTGGACTGGGCTTTCTTTCATTGGTTTTGTGAACAAGCTTTAATCAAAATATGGATATATTGCGAGTAAAGCTTGTTCACAAAACCGAACAACGAAAGGCCAGTCCAACGATGAAATTCAAGCCGATGCGCAAATTTTTTTTCTGTGGACAGTCGGACTCCTCATTGATAGTCGGACGCATCATTGATCCGCGTCCAGACCTCTGCGCGTTATCGATGGACTATCTCTTCATACCCTGTGTAACGCACTGGTGCACCATATATCCATCACTCCCCGTTGTTCGTCTTCGACCACATGTAGAAAGATGAACGATTTGCTTCGCGATGCCATAATGAATCTACAAACTTGTTTTTCTGGTTCCGAAAATACTCAAGAACAGCTATTGCGAGTTAAAACTATACAGCATCCCAATTGAGAGAATTAGGCCTGTTTCATACGTTGAATTTAGTTCAGATTCAAAGCGACCATAAAGACCACTTTCCACAAAAAGAAGTATTGCCGAATATCCGTCCACTAGTACTATCACTGGAAACGTATATACCAGATCTTATTGCCTCGTTCTAATATACACCAACTAATTACTAAGATAATATTACGAATTGATACTAATCACGAAATATCATGCAAGATTTTTCATATTTAATATTATGCTTAGTATCCTTTATAATATAAACTTTTTTTCTCGCAGCGACGCTAATTTATCATAATCTGTCGAACACCAATGTCCGGTTGTGAGGCACATTTATCATTTATAGACCTGGAGCGAGGGGGGTTCGGCGAAATATTACCCGAAGTGATGATATTCCCGAGGGGCTTTGCCCCGAGGGAAATGTCATCACTGAGGGTAATATTTCGCCGAATCCCCCGAGCGGAAGGTCTATAAATGATATATTATACCGAAAATTAAAAGCCTCCAAGTTGAGAATTAAAAACTTGACACATACCTTCGTGAATACGATGTTTTATTTTCGGATTAACGCAAGTGTCGTCGCTTTTCTTTCAAAGCACATATCGTTTGGAATATTAATGACAAAGCCCCAGGTTTTAGGTTTGAAAAAGCCCGGGGTTTTAGGTTTAAAATTGAATTATTCATCACTCATTAATACTATTTATGTTTTGTCGGCCATCTTGTTATCATGCGTGTTGTCCCGCGTGGTGTACGCGAATAATGTGGTGTACCCGCATGTCGTCGTTTTCAGGTCAGTGTGAACGCCTGAGTAGGCGTCTTGTTACACTGACCTGAAAGGTAAGTGTCTTAAATCCCTAGTTTTCTGTTTTCTTCTGTTTTTTTCGTCGTCGAGAAATCGAGTTTGCGTTCGCGCATCGCAGGCTCAGGGTGCAACGATTAATCCAAAATGCCATCGATTCTTCGACTCCACGATTCATATATAATAGTAAGAAGCTTGTATTTATGTACGTAATAGCCTGCGCATGGCATGCTTGTGGTGCATTTTCCGTTTATTAGCCCATATATAGACTTCTATGGACTTATACGCACGCGCACAATTCCGAACTCCAATGGTGACATATTCAGTCCAGTTTCAAAATGGCACCTTTTGGCTGAGTGATCAGAATATATTTCACACAGATTCGTTGAATTTTCAAAGAGTTGTGCCGGTTTCCTATGGATTTTACGTTGTGTCGCACTCTGAACTTTCTTGCGTGTTGAATTAATATGTTTTTCTTCGTGTAACGACTCGAAAACCCCAAAATTTGGACCCAGCGAATTTTACAAAGGACAAGTTAAAGGTTCGACAGTTTGACTTTTTAACTAATAAACAACTGTTTATAAATATACGTTGTAGAGTCATAAACATCCGTGGTGTAGTTGTGTTCATTTTTTGTCGCACTCTGGACTTTCTTGCGTGTTGAATTAATGTTTTTCTTTTTGTATTAAACGACTCCAAAATTTGGCTTCCAAAATTTGGCCGACCCGGCGGATTTATACAATCAATATGTTGTATCAAACGACTCGAAAACCCCAAAATTTGGACCCGACGCGAATTTGTACAATATAGTGGAATATAAGCAAGGACAAGTTAAAGGTTCGACAGTTTATTTTGATTTATTGTATGGTTCTCATTTGCCTAATACAATAACATTTAGTTCACAATACAATTATACAATATAAACAAGGGCAAGTTAAAGGTTTGACCATATTAAAATACAAAGTTGAAATTCGCGCAATAGCTAGGCTACTAGAATTCGCGCAAGTAAAGATAAAGCGAGCGTTCAAAATACCAAAAAGAACTAAGACATTTATTGTATGCTTCTCATTTGCCTAATAGAATAACATTTAGTTCACAACATAATATAAACAAAATATAAACAAGGACAAGTTAAAGGTTTGACAGTTTCCCTACACAATGTCGACAATATACCTTAATACATGTATTAAAATTCGCGCAGTAGGAGGTTGGCGCAGTAGCTACTAGTTGGTGCGCCAAACGCTTTGTGGTAGCTATACTAAAGATAAAGCGTGCCTTCAAAATACCTAGCTACAAGAACTAAGACATTTATTGTATGGTTCTCATTTGCCTAATACAATAACATTTAGCTCGACGCGAATTTTAACCAGTATCATATTTCATAATATAATGAACAATGTAAACTGGCCAATTCTTTTCACCTACGGAATGTCGACAATATACCTTAATACATGTATTAAAATTCGCGCAGTAGCTACTAGAGTGCGAGCAAGTCGTAAAGATAAAGCTTGCATTCAAAATACCAAGACATTTATTGCATGGTTCTCATTTGCCTAATACTATAACATTTAGTTCACAATATAATATAAACAAGGAAAAGTCGTTCGATTTGGCTCACTGTCAGTGCTCGTTTTGAATGTATATTGATCGATTTCAATAATCGATTTACATATCAGTCTGCTCGATTCGAGTAAGTGTTGCCCGATTTGTATCATTGGTGATTTGGTGTTCGACTTATAACTATTGGACCTATTGAATTTTGACAGTAAAAACGCGCCATATATAATACATGTATTAAAATTCGCGCAGTAGCTACAAGAATTGTCGCAAGTAAAGATAAAGCGTGCGTTCAAAATACCACTGGCAATGAACAAGAACTAAGACATTTGTTACGAAATCTGCTACAAAATGTCGATCGACAATATAGCATACAGTGTTGGATTTTTCTCATGTGTATAATGTAGCATAACACATGTATTAAAATTCATGCAGTAGCTAGTACTAGAATTCGCGCAGCGCTGGGTGCGCAAAATTGCAAAAAGCCGTTTGTGGTAGCTATAGTAAATATAAAATTTATGCTACAAGGGTCAAGGTAATAAATGGGAAATGAACTAGCTATTTTAAAACTGTAATGTATGATGATTCTTTTGAGATAACAATGAGAAGATGAAGCGAACGAAGAA